TCGTATTGTGTGTAACGCTGCATGCTTTATTGAACGATTTAGGGATCCGTTTTAATTGTTGTATATTGAATCAAAACTTTTATAACGCAATCAATACACATATATAATGATTCCCTACAATCTAACGCACAACCTTTTTATAGTTGAACCAGCTTTAAAATATTGAATGCTTCTATAAATATTTTTATTAAATACATTTTTACGAAATGGTCTGGATATAATGATTTACAAGTTTCATCATTTAAATACGAGTTAAGGGGCGTTGTAATACTCGCTCGAATTACACGATAATTATAACTTTAATTTGTACTCCAGTGTGGATTTAAAATAGGAATCAACTTCGAAACTTTTCAAAGATGGAAAATAATAACGCTTTTTAAGATTTGCATAAAACAACCCGAATTAATTTACTGAAACATGGATGATATTATTTTGACCATCAGCTAAGTTGTATAATATGACCATGAGCTAAGGTGTTTATTAATAGATCTAGTATTAATTTTGGACAAATATTTTTTATTGATTTCAAACAGGAGATATAAACCGTATTCTCCTATATGTGATTATTATAACATGAACTACCCATAAACAGTGCAATGAATAAAAAATTCGTTTGTCACTGTTGCGTATCTCTCACCTTCATAGGATATTTTTGAAAAAGGTAAAGAAGTCATAAACTGTACATTAATTTCAATTCTTCATATGAATACTTCTTTTTGCACTGAAGTTAAAAATTGCGACAGTTTGTTTATATTAAAAATCACACTAAACTAATATATCATCCATGGTTGGCTGCCGGTGACACATGGAAAATTGTTGTCATGAGTTATGATGGTGACATGTCAACAGACACGGTGTAGGCTTTGACCCATGACTTATTATGTATGTTACTTATTTAGTGCTATATTATACTTAGAATACGTCAGAAAATAGAAACGGTATACAATTTTGATGTTTGACAGACATGTTAAGACAACATTATTTTAAGAATATACGTAACAATAGTTACTGCGATCTATATATACGTTTTCATATACTTCATTATACAAATAATATTTTTTTTGCAAATATTTTTGTGTAATAATATTAGATAAAAAAATTGCTGTAGAAATGACTTGTTACAAAATAAATAAAAACCTCACGATTTTATAAACTATTAATAGACTATTGCCCATTTTTAATCATATTTTAAATAAATTTAATAAAAGAAGACATTTATATTAAGAGAAGACCTTTCCTTGATCAAATAAAAGGAAGCATAAATACGACGGGAACAATTATGTTATATCAATTATGTTAAGAGAAGACATTTTGACAAAAGTTATGGATTTGCGATCAACTTTTATTCGTATTTAACATTCAGAGCGTGTTACTCTTCTTTTCCTCTACTTCTCGCATGATTTCACACAAAACAATTCTTAAAGTTAATACTTGTATCAAGAACACTTTAAGGTAATAACAACATTGTTAGTATACCGTAATAGAGATTCATCGCCTCCAAAGCGACGAGCAAATTATGAGTTGGTGCGAAGCAAACGACAAAGCCGGTTCCTTATTGCTCGATTTATTTGACAATTTATCGCATGGTACAGAATCAGACTTACATTGGATTTATTAAGGTGCGTTTTGCAAACAATTTATTAGTTTCCCTAAAAGAAAAGCCTATAAAAACGTATTTTGGTGAGTCCCTTTTTCAACTGACTTCAAAAAAGTAAGTAGGTTCTGACTTCGTCAGAATCTAGTTTTTGTATGTATCTGCTACGATTTTTAAAATTTTCCTGGACCAATTTAAGAATTTTTTTCTTCAAAAGATTTGATATTCAAAAATTGTATATATTTTGTCAGGCATTAAATAATAAATAAGCTTATTCTGAAGTCAATAAAAATAGTATTCGTATATCTACATTAGGTGTTTTATCGATTTTTGTGCAGATAAGTAAAATTTATCCTAAAAGGTTAAAAAATTATCTCACTGTTTTCCTCTTTAAATCTGTCTTAATATTATGTGTTTTTTTATGTCGTTTTTTTAGCTGTTGTACAATATGCTGAGAGAACATGATACTCAGAAAATAAAATTTGAGTATTATTTTATTTAGTTGCAAGAAAATGAAAATAAATTTATATTTTTATTTTTTGACTAATTAATAACTAAAATGCATAGGCGCAAACAATTATAACATTCATTATGTTGTAAAAATTTTCACTCATATCAAAACACACAACCATTAGCATTAAAAATGTTTTACTTAGTACTTTTATTTGTATTCATATTATTATTTATTGTCAGTTGTTTCTATATAAATCAAATGATAACAAAGACGAATTGTTATCTCGGTTGGCTTGTGACCGTATAATAGGATCGTGTGTATGTTTCGAATTATATTAACTTATTAATATTATGTGATATAGTAAAACAAGATGTTAATTTTACATGTAATTGTTAACAAGGATAGGATACAAAAGAAAATAACATTTAAAACTATTCTTGTTCCTACTGAGCATGTTTTTAATTGTTTCAAGCATTTAGCGCTTATTTCCGTGTAATTTGACTTCTTTTGTACGCTTACATGTTTGAAATGAAACTTTCGTATACACATAATCTGTTAATCTTTTGCAATATTCGTTAATTTAAATCATAACATTGAATTAGATACAAAATATATAAATATAGGACGATATTTTGAAGTACATGTGACTTGTTAATTTTTTCTTACAGAATTATATGGATCATCAAATACTTTCTTAAGAAGCTTAGGTTTATATTTAAATTATGAAAAAAATCATTTTAGTTTAAATTTTGCTGAATATTTTGGATTTCATTTGACCTGAAATCAATTTTTGATATAAGCACGGGAAGTATCCTTTTTCAGATAAAAAAGATAATATTTTCTCGAAAAATAAATTTCATTCTGTTCTTTTAAATTTATTCTCGAGGGATACTCGCTCAGCCATTGTATATCTTTGAAACAAAGAGGTAATCGCGATCCACTCTGAAAATTGGACGGATATATGTTTCAATGGATAGGGAAATTGACATGTTTAATACTGATGTTATATCATAGTACATTATTTAACCATGGTACAAGTCGTCTCATGTGGACCAGTGTACATCGTGGCATTGAGGTCAGGTAAAGAACAGGGTACGGTACGGTAACTACATCTCCCTTTCTTGACCGTCAAGGGTAGAGTTAGATGAAAAATGCATTGAAAGTATTCTACCGGTATTCCTTAATCCGGTGTTACGCTGAACAGTTGGGGAGATTTACAGAAGTTTTTCTCTGCCTCTTTGACAAGACACCTAATACAAGCATTGATTGAATTATTTTTTATTATGGATATGATTAAAATAAAATAATACTTTTAGAAATTAATAAACTTTGGCATTGAAATATTAGGAGGCCCTTATAATAGATAAATGCGTAATATTTTTTTCAAAATAAACTAAATCAAAATAAAGTTTAAATTTATTATTTTATGTGTATAAACAATAATAAATTATAAAAGAACTATGTTCATAAACCGGTAATTATTACATTAGAAATTATAGTTTTTTCGTCTCAAGAGCCAATTTTAAAGGTTCATAAATCCAAAGGGACTAAGATTCTAAAGAAGTATAATATATTTCTTAATAAATCAAGCAACAAGGTAATTGTCGTTATGTTGTAAATCATACTTCGAAAGACTCAAGACCGATATTAATATGACTATATCTATCGTGATTTAACTTTGAACATTCATCATTATTATTTAATGTACGTCAATGTTTGTATAATTTTTGTTTTTATATTATTTCTTGTACTTGTATAATAAAAATTTCCCCATCACTATCGTATATAATATACATAATTATGATGATTATAACAAGTAGACGCTGTGAATATTTTAATTTTATTATAGAGATAATAAATAGTTCATATAAAGGAAAAACTATCTGGGAAGTATACTAAGGACTTGGGCTTATAATTTACATTGATCTCACTTGGTTTAAGCGTCATCAATAGCGATGGGGCTCCAATTAGTCTGTAAGGGTATCGAGGATATTTATTTATTGGTCAATGTTTACACTGAATGATACGATACAACTAGGACCACTCGATCTGAAGTCTGGTATTGTTTGATGTTCTATAGAAATGTATAGCTAATGTTTTATACTATATAAAAATACACATCCAACAAAATTCTACGATTCAGACCATTTTTGTGTCGAATAAATTTTAATGATACCTCACATTTGAAACATTCCACTTTAAAAACTCAAATGAATATAATCAAGATTAACTTTAAAATCCTCATTATGAAGAATCACTTGTCATAATTTTCAAGTATATGTAGAATAACAGTTGGCAACATTAATTCCTATGTTCAATATTTATATAACCTTTCCTTGATCAAATAAAAGGAAGCATAAATAGGACGGGAACAATTATGTTATATCTAATATATTATAATTAACTGGCCACTTTCATGTCTGTTCAAATCACATTAAACATTATTTGCAGTGTTCTCAACCATATCCGACGAATTAATCAAGTTAATAAGAAAATAATTACTTTTTTTAAATATTTGTAAAAGATTCTATGCAAAAAAATTAGGTAGGTTGGCAACCAGAGGTTCTCGGAAAACTACGAATCTTACTTATATGTATATTCTAATGAGAATTACAAACTAAAACTTATACCTTATACATAACCTACATAATTACCGCGATGTTAGGATAGCAATGCCATTCCATTGCTTGTGTGGTATCAGGAATCTTCTGTTTCGCACGGCTTGGTGTTCGTTCACGGGAGTCAGCGGCGTCACTATTTATATGAGATTTTATCCATACAACGATGTTGTACCGGCGATGTTAATTTTTTAAAAATATGTAGCGCATACATAACAGATGGTCCATTTGTTGAGTTTATTAGTATATTATCAACACAAATCTACCCGTACATAGCAAATAAAGTAATATAAATATTAAACAAATATTTATTTCAGATAAATTATTCAAACACATGCTTTCACCGTCGACAAAAGCGGCCTGCTGGCTGACGACGTTCCTGAGCGTCTTTGTGACAGGTATTATATTTATTCATTGACTCTTAACTAAAATTGTATTTTAAAAATATATTATACATTGTTTGTAAAAATATTTTCATCTCCTGAGCTTCTTGAAAAATTAAATTCCGCTATTGTATTTCCGCTAATCATCTACAATTCTCGACATCGACAAGTTAAGACTCTACTTTAGAGCTCTACTGAAGAAAATTGAATATTAATTTGTTAGAAAATCTTTTCGATGTGAATATTTCACTTCGTTGGTTTCTTTTAGCCATTCGGTTTCGTATTGGTAATATAAAAAGGCCAAATCAAGTATTAGTAAATCCGTTGTTTTTCTGAAAGTGTTCTGTTCTTTTCCGATTTATTGTCATGAACTTTTTTTAATTTGGTTTGACTCGCATTAATAATGGAATCTTCGGGATTAATGTCTTTAAGCTTTACAGAGCCATAATTTGAACATTCATTTTTTATGTACGAAGTAAATCTTGTATTTCGATATTATGATTTTAATTTTAAATTCTATATCAGCTTAAAATTTTGCTTCATTGTTCAAATTTAATGCTCTATTAGGCACTTTACGAGTATTTAAAAAATTCATGTTTAAAATTAACAATAAAGTAATAGTATGTTATGATAATAATGCAAATTTTTTACATTTATTTACATTGGGTTCATCGTATATCACTAAATTAAATTGCAGGTGAAATGCCAATACAAGCCGAAGTGGGACCTGAATTTCTGCAAGCCCTTGAAAACCACACCGTCACGCAAGGCCGGGATGTACACTTTACCTGTGTTGTCAATCATCTTTCCAATTATAGAGTAAGTATAGTTATTATATTATTAGTTATAGTTGTAAGTTATATTTTTGACTAACATCAGATACTATCTTAAGGATATTTAGTTTTTTTTATTAAGTAAATATTTGAAAATATTATTGTTCAAAGTATTTTTACACCTCCTAGCATAACTAGTGTAATAACTGTATTAACTTGTATTTATTTATTTTATATTTTTATGATGTAAAATATATGATTAATACCTTGAGAGATGAGGAATGTTATGCCTAGTATGTCTTTATGATGTATATTTAGATTCGTTCTCAAATACCAACATCGTCCTTAACTATACAATGAATTATATAGGTCTTATAAAACCTTAGTATACCAATTGAATTCAATTTCAAATAGCGTAGGAAGGATTTTAAACTCTTTAGAAACAAAGAAGAAAATTATTACAAACTAAACATCAATTCTCTGTATACTCGGTTCACAAATCCATCCATTATCTGAAATCAGTGCACGGCCGAACATAAGCTTTTACCAGGATATTCAGAATGGCTAGCTTCGCAGTATTCGACTTAGTCATGGCTCGATCTTTTAGGAAACCTGAATAAGCTTTGTTTCATCACATGCTGTCCTGTATTTCAAAATTATTCGAATTTCTTTTAATTCATTTGAAGCAAAAATATTCAAATAAAGCGAAAAATTTTTTAATTCCAAAAGGACTGCAATTTAAATGAATATGATAGTCTACGCTCGATTTTCTTCACTTTTAGAACCCATTATAAGAGTCAATGAAATTTATAGAAATCATTTGTTGAAAAAGAATTTGTTGGGTTTTCTGAACATTCTCCAGCTATTAGTTAAATGATCTGTTTTTCAAATCTAGTTATCTAGCTTCATGGATAGTTTTACAAAGAAAGCTTAAGTACAAAAACTGAATATTAATCATGAAAATATTTTAAGTTACTTAAATAATTCAAATGAAACACTTAATATATTTAATATTAAGAAATACTCATTAAATAGGATCTTACCGAAATAGTTATATTAGTCATCTCTGCTGAGTTCAAAATATTTTTTGAAATAAAAATAAATTAGACGGAAAAGTTTGTTATGTTTTCGTTTCCACGAAAATCGTTCAAGTGGTAGTGGCGAGTGTCATTTTAATCGCTAGTTAGTTTTAGTTTGTACCATTATTTCCATAATTCACTGTCAATTAAAACCTATAGACAGCTAATCCGCTAGAAAATCAACTGGAATTTTTTGTTATTCTTGTCCCAATAAAAGAATATTAAATTTTATATTCCGCAGTAATGATAAATTGGACTCTGTGTTGAAGAAAGGGCTTGTTAGAGTAAACAGATGTATTAATTATTCTAAAATAGTAGTAAAAATTGTATGTGATAAAAAGACTTCTAGAAAATAGATTTCTACAATGTAGACACCCTATACCACCTGCATCATTCCACAAATACTTTGGAGGTCGAAATAAAGGGGAAAATATCAAACGGTTATATCAACATAATTTGAAGTATCCAGATTTATTTGATATTGTAATAATAATGACAAATTAGATGGACGATAGATATTAGATTTCTCATACAATAAACAGGTAAGATGATATGAATATTATGAAACAGACGTCTTGAATATGGTACAATGAATACGAGGATATTGAATCATTATGAGAAAAAATAGAGATAACCCTTGTTGAAGCCTCACAGAATTATACCTACTTATTAACTACTGTTTTAATAAGTAACATAAGTAGTTCCCAATCATTTTATAGCTTTACATTTATAAATATTTTAATTTAATTATTTAATTTCTTGCATATAGTAAGATACAAAAATAATGTTATTTTGTAAAGAAAAACGGTTGTTCTTTTTAAATTTAAAAGTTATCTCTAACTATAAATTTACAGCTACGTCACATAAAAAGCCACGACAAGATTATAACTTAACACTATCTGAGCAGTTCTGAGAAAAAGTATGTGTTTTAACGAGTTTCATACTAATTACAAATAATTTTAAAAGCATGTCATAACATAGTTACCATTAGAACCCGACAATAAGCAATTACAATTTTAATTAACTTTTCTAAAGCGTGAACTTTATTTCATGTCACGTAAATTACAAGCCTTTTTCACTGGGACAGAGTCATAAACTTATTAATGTGGTGTAATTAATCTCTCTCATGGTACAATTAAAGTACATAGTCCACGTAACACCGGTGCTATAAAGAAAATGATGGCTGTAGCAAACATATTATTGTACATAAACTTTAGATAACTTTCGTAAAAGGTGTTACTTTACTTACCTAATTCGACTACAATTAGAAATGTCAATTACGGTGCAATTTCAAACATTATCATATTATATATTTAATCTGGTATAATAAAATTTATCTATTACAATACTACAGCTAAATAACCGGGTAATGTAATTATATAAAACTATTTTAATTTTCAAATAACTATCGCGAATTAACCATTTATAATCGCGGAGCTTAATTTAACACTCCATTTCCAGCACTCTGCAGATAAACCGCAACGTAACGAATAAAACCACAATCGCTGAAATGGATTAGTTTTAATGTCACATAAATAAAAAAAAACATTAATTTACTCATTACGCACTCAATTTTATTCCTTAAAATCAATAAAGCACAAGTGACATATTATCTCACTAACTAATTTTTTTTTATTCCGGTTGTATACAAAGGAAAGGAGATTTTTTAAAATGTGGAATGAAATATTTTCAATTAAATCAAGAAACTGTTATATATTGTTGTTGTCTCTTATCGTCTCTTTGCCGTCTGTTCAGTTATATTGTTACTTTATTTCAGTTACTTTCCGTATTTTTATAAATGTATAAATCCGTCTAAATTAAAATGATAAATTACTTTATAAAAATTCTATGAAAATCTTGGTGTTATTTTAATAATATTTATAAAGGTTAGTATTTTTATGCATTTCGGACAAATAACAACATGTTAATTATATTTTACCAACATTACTGAAAATAACGAGGTATGACAAATTTAGTTCTTCTACATAATTATGAAAGAAAACTGAATAAAGTAATAAAAATTTTATGATTTCCAACAATAGTTTTTGCTTCAGAGATCATTAGCATAGTGCGGAAGTGAAAAGATCAAAGGATAAGGTTTCACAATTGAAATTTTACAATCGAAATGAAAGCTATTTTGAGTTTCTGAAATCTATTAAAAATAAAAATCTATTAAATCTGTCATATTAATTATTCACTTAATATAATCAAACATAATATAATAAGCAATAAAATCATGTTGTTGTGGCATGAGGATCTGTTTATAACAACGTTCAAAACATTCTAGAAACTTTAGTCTCAGCTAGTCTGAAATTTCAGCAACAATGAAATTGTTACTAATTTATTTTCCAACCGCAACAAAGGGATATGTCACATGAAAAATACGCGAGAGGTAGTATGAGACACAAAACATTCCTGGGATGGAACGCAGTACAATTTTATATGTGACGTCCTCTGTTTCAACGACATTCACCATAGCTCCAGCGTTTAAGTCACATTAAGTTTCCTTTCGCAGTGAACAATACAAACGATTTAAAACTTGGAGAAGCTCCGAGAAAATTGCTAGCAATTTATGACATTAATCCTAGACATTAAATGAAATTTCACGCTCGTATGCAATCTCGGAAAGTATTTTGTTTTCTCGACACTAATTCTAAATTCATCGTGAATGAGAGTCATTTGTATTAGAATGGGTTTTCGTTTTATATATTTTACAATGGCAGATTATTATGTTAGCTAACATTAATATATCCTGAGGTATATGAATAAGTAATTGATAGCAACTGGTACAAAAATAAATTATATCGAAAATTCTTTAATGTTATTTAATTCCAAAAAATGTTTCATAATAATTAGAGTATCGTGGAATGTGTTTTTTATACATACTTACATATCGATATTTCGATAATTAAATATACATATAAGTTTTACTTTAACCAAATATTTAAAATTTTCTATTAAAATAAATATATTGCCCAATTACCGTTTTATAACTAATTATAATTTAACGGAATAATATAAAGGTAATAACAATGTATTGGCAAAATCTCATCTCACAAAAACGAAAATATTTCTAACTTTTGTATGGTGCAAAATATTAAGAGTATTTTTTTAATATATAAATCATAGTATAACGAGATATGTCGTAATAAAAAACGGCCATGTTTTCACTAACAAAATGTTTCTTCCATCATAAATACTTATGACTTATTGCTATATGGTATATTCAGTATAAAACAAAGAGCGAAAAAAACGTGAAAATATTTATAGATCTTTAAAAAAGGTTCTACAAACTAAACTAAATTAATGTTTTTATGAATTCATACCTGCGTACTATATAATGAATTTATTTTCAGGTTGCATGGATAAAATCAGATTCAAAAGCAATTCTTGCGATACATACAAACATGGTTGCATTGAATCCTCGTCTGTCTGTCACCTACAATAACCACAATACATGGAAACTTCACGTCAGTAATGTCCAAGCGAACGACTCTGGAACTTATATGTGTCAAGTTAACACAGACCCTATGAAGAGTCAGGTAGAGAAACTCATTATTGTTATTAAGTCAATGACAAACTCACAATGTATCAAGTTAACGAGTTCTTTGAACATTACCATTACTTACTTCGAATAAGAACAGAATACTTTAAATATTTATTAAATTATCGTAATCTTAGTGAACGTGGTAAAGCTATATAGGCAAAAGGATGGTAAATGGGTTTCAAGGCCCTCATTACTACGGAGTTGAACGCTCCGCCATTTGTGGTCTGTTATTGACATTTTGTAGAATAGCCTTAAAGTGACTCGATTGATGTGCCAGGACATCAAACTTGGCTAGGTTAGAATTAGGTCTTTTATTAATTTATAATAGCACATTAATTACACTCAAGAATTGAATACGAATAAGCACTCATGTTTATAATTTTTATTTAAATGTTTTATTTATCCGGTTAAGGAGTTAATTAATAAACCAAATTTTGTTCCACTTAGATGGGTCATCTGTCCGTGGTAATACCTCCGGATATCGATGATTCGATATCTGAAGGCAGTTCAGCCAGAGAAGGTGGTAGTATTCGTCTATCTTGCACTGCAACTGGAGTACCACCACCCACAGTGATGTGGCGAAGAGAGCATAACCGACCTATCGTATTCAGACATGACGGAGGAAGAGAGAAGAAAGGTATGTAATTTTTTTATGCCTCTAAAAATTTGCCTACATAATTAAAGTTATTTACTAAATGACATTTTAGTTTCTTTAAACGGCCACACAATAGACCCTTTTAAATAATAAAGCCTATCGCAACGTTATTAATAATAATTAATCTTTATAATATAATTGACTATAAAAACAATATAATTTTGTTTAAAATTCCTTATAAAATATTAATAAAGTAGTAATGATTTTTCAAGTAACACATCTTCAGATAAAATTTAATTAAGAATCTCGGACGAACATTTAAGATGTAAGTTAATTTAAAAATAGAGTTACCGAATAAGTTAAGACGGTAGTTTAAAAGTTATTTTCACAGTAAATGAGGTAACATCTTATTAATGCTTTAAAGTTTTACACTGGCATTTTGTTTTGTATTATATAACTAATAGAAAACTGATATTATGGCAACACAGATAAGCTGTCTACGATAAGCTGTCTGTATTGAATTAATTTTTTTAGAACAAACATCAGATACTGGTTAATGCAGTCTATCATAAATAAAGAATTTAGCACGAAGGAAATTACAATTCTGTATATTTGGCCAACAATTTAATTAACACAAAACATTTCGTTTATATTCTCTGTAAGTTTATACGTATAATGCACCTTTTGACATGTTTGAAATCGCTATGAATATAATTTTCATTAAAGAATTCAAACAATTCTCCCTCCACATGCTAAAATACAAGAATTTCTGAATCAAAAATCCTGTTCAAAATTTATTTCCAATCATTCAAGTTCAGCGTGTAGTTGAAATATAAAAATAAGAAATAAAAGGAAACTAAAGTAGACGTCAACGATTTGTTCCGTTGTACAATGACAGGACCAGCGGCAACTGTAATAGGTTGGAAAATATCACGAATGTTATACTCTCTTGTTTCCAATTTACAATATGTTAGATTTTAAACTTCAACTCAACCTACTAAAGGCGACACCCGTGAGAGACAGTTGAAACAAAAATAGTCTAAAAATTATACTTTACAATAAATAATCTGTTACTTATATACGTAATTCAATTTTAACAATGTAGAATTTTGATGTATAGAATTATAGTATTTTATTTTTAGTTCAATTCACCGAATGACTTTATTTATAATTTTTAACAATATCACATCTCTGTAAATAGCACACTGTTTATATTTATTTCGCAAATATGAAATGCTATACATAGACAATACTTTGATATTGTTATTTGAAATTCAAATTCAAGAATTTTCATTCTAATTAATTTTTTAACAACTGATTGAGACCTGAATTAAAAATGTGTCTGAAAATTTCAATATATTTCACATTTCTGTTGTTTTTTAATTCGCTCTTTTTAACATTTAATTTGCAAAAAAATACGACGATGTATCCAAATAAAGAATGTAAATTTTCTTTTTTTTTAATTTTTGTTAATGAAGTCTTAATCCGAAAATATTTCCCTAAAAGGATCGATATTCCGTTATAAACAAGAACCATTGTGTATATGCATGAATGTACATGAGTATGTTATAAATATATTTAATTAACAATTAATGTGTGGATGTTCTTTACTTAAAACTACTGAAAGTATTTAATTGGGATGGAAACCAAGATGTAAAATATAGGCTATGATTTACATCGAAATTTGAATCCTTATAAAGTTATTTTTTAAGTAATCGTGTGACACAAGTACTAGATGGCGTTGTTAGTGAATTAATACATCTTACTAAAATCTTGTTAGATGAATAGTTGATCAAATGCTATTTATCATAGTAGTTATTTTATAAACAATGCTTATTATGTTAGAAGCTTACAAGAGCTTTGGTTAATTGTTAAATTCCATTATGAAATAAATATAATATGTTCAATGATATAAAACAAGTATTTAATTTTAAGATAAAGAAGAAATAAATTACTAATGTGCTTCAAGAAAACTTAAGAGTCGACAGAAATATTTACTTCCAAGTATTTGCAAATGCCTGTTTTGCTTTCATCGCTGAAGTAGGAGTAAATATTAATGTCGTGAGACAAGTAGAGAAAATAGTGAGAGAGCAAACACCTGCGGTCTCGGAGATAACAATATATATTTTAAAAACTACAACATGATTAACAGATTGTAAATATACATATTTTCTGAAAACGTTATCATATGTTAAACATACTTTTTTATTAAACGATGAGGAGTGTATAAAATTAATCATAAAAATATTAATTACTTCTAATTGAATATTCTTAATTAACCTTATTATAAAATATAAAAAATTAAACAAAATAAAATAAGCTATGTATTATACCAGACCTCCTCGGGGCATACCATTTTGACTGAGACTTCCTTTTCCCCGAAGTACCCGAAGCTTGACTCTTTTTTCAATCCAATCTATTTTGCATTGTCCCGACACTCACATGAAACATTACATCTAGACCGATTGGTCTCTCTTTCCCCCTGCACTTCTCCCTAAACACCCTCTCCAATAGATTTTCTTTACGCAAGAGAAAACAAGCTTTAATACATATATCGAAGACAACAAGGCGGCTCGCGACGATATAAAAGCTTTGAGTTACTCTTCTTTCCTTTTAGATGGATTCCTTTGAAATGAATCAAATAATTTGCGGACTTATCGTTGTGTACTCATTTTATTTGAGAAATATATTATGAAAAGTGTAATAATGATCGATGCCATTAAACTGTGTTCTCAGATCTTTTTATATTTATCAACACAAATAAAATTTCCGATCAAAAAATATATCTCTTTTGAAGATTATTTTATTCACTGAAAATAAAACCTTTTTTTAATAACGACCTAAAGACATATATTCATTTATTGTATAAAAAAATATTATTATTGTTCGCAACTGTAATCGACTTCTCGGAAGTTTAAGTCCGACTCTTTCACTTTGGTTCCGTACAAGTGGTGACCAAAATGAAAACTTCGAACTTTTCGTAGAATTTTTATGAATTTTTTGTTTGTTTCCGACAATAAACTCCGCAGTAAGACCGCAGGCGACATCATTAATAGTATAGCCTCTTTACCGATTTTGTTGGGGCAATACAGCTTACGGAAAGTTGCTAATGAAATTTTATATTCACTTGTTTCTAAATTCAAAATAAAAAATTGCCTACGGCCCTTCCGCCCCTGGTACAATACCAGATTAATTTATCTTTGTTTATTTTTGTATTATTTATTTTTTATTTTATTTAAAATTGTGCTAAAAACTCCTGTATAAATATTGAAATATGAGGATTGAGAAATGAATTTAATACAGCATAATTTATTTCACATTTTACACCAGATCTATTATTATTACTAATTAAAGAGTGATATGTAAAATACTTATTATTTAATGAAATGGTTAACGTGATAACATGACTCTTTAAATGTAATAAACAGAATTTTTCAAACCAGCGTCAATACAATTGCGCCTTTCATTAGTTATACAATTCTTAGATGATATAATAATATAACATGTAATCAGAATGAAACCATTTTTATTAAAGTGAAACATAAAACACTGAACTTATGCCCGGCATTGTTTTGCTCCCGCAGGTGCACAATTAACATTTGCCGCCTCGTAACGATACGTATACTCGTTATCTGCCCGATGCACATATAACGATGTTGTTTAGGCTATAGCCGAACCGCTAAACAAACAATTGGCTAATAATTTCGCTCTGCAAACTGCCAAAGCATATGGAAATTTTGCGTAACAACGGCAACGGATATCATTGACTACGTTAATGTAAACGCTGTATTTGGATCTACGTAAATTGTAAACAGCTTGTTTTGTGTTTGTCTACTGCGCTTTATTTGTAAGTGGATTACATTCTGTACCTTTAATTAAAAAAATTTCCTTGTTTTTATTTTTGTGCGGCTCTCTATGTATAAACAGGGTCATAAGTTGTATTTAGTAAGCAGGTGTTTCTTGAAAATAAATTATAAATTACTTAATACCTCTATATAAAAATAAATTGAGATTTATATGGTCATTTATAATTGTATGATGTTAATCTATTGAATTTATTGTTTATTTATTTATGTATTTATTTTTCTTTGTGTGGTGCTCTTTTATGTTCCGTGATAAAAAAGCGCATAAGTCCTATAAATAATTCTATAAAAATTAATTTATGTTATGAGATTAATTTTAAACATTTACTTATAAAACTTTTTTCATGCCTTACCTTGCGAATAGTGATGACTACGACTCATAGTATATATGTGAATTTATATATATGAATCTAGATAGGTGTCAACTTCCATACAAATCTGATCATTTCTTTGTGTTTTCTTGAAATTCGAAAAATTCAGACATCTATACCCATGTCCTTTCATCCCTGTCAACATAATATTAATTAACAAAAAAAAACTTCTACTAGTAAAACAAAAGCACCTTATAATAATCCACTTAAAGAACGAAGTAAGGTTTCTCTTATAAAAGCTTAACATCAGAAATCACCAAATTACTATTTAATTAACACAGAATACACGATCCCTTTTGTTTCAGTTGTAAGACGCTGGAGATTTAGCTACTTTCTTTGTACATTTGCATACAAAAAAACAGATGACTATCAACCTTATTATTTCCGTGAATAAGTTCAAAATTACTTATTAGTGGCAACATCACACTCATTCTATAATTTTATTAGCAACAATTCAACATTAAGCAGTATTGTAGTCCATAACTGGAATTTTAATTTAAATAAATGATGCAAAATCCAAAATTCACTGAATTGACCAAGACTATGCATGTCTAATTGCCTTATGATGTGGGATGAAATATATCTTGCTAGTTTGTATCTTTCACAAAGATTTATGGTTCGGTAAGTCAGTTGTAAAATGGCAACTCTTATACGATGATATTGTTGTTAGTCATTCTCTGTATCTCTGTAACAAAACCCTCTTCCCAGAAAAATTTAGATGCTTAACCATGACACTAGTGTAGTACCTCGGTAGAATTGGGTTTTTGAAAAAAAAAAAGTATTGATTTTTTTTATGTATTTTAAAACT